AACGTCAACTGTATATTTTGAGAGTCATCAGCCTGAGTGGGTAGGGGAGGCTGGTCAAACCTCTGACGCTCTTCGTTGCCCTACGTTGTGCAGTATCGAACGCGGTGAGATGGTGCTTGAGCCAGGGTTGCCACGAAGGGTCAAAATTTCCGAATGCTCTGCGAAGAAGGCCGATGTAATGGTTCGCTTTCTTAACTGCCTTTTCAGTCTGCCTCAAACAACCGAGGTCATCTTGAACTATCATGCCGAGATCGCACTCGTGAGAAGCCAGCTGTAGAATTTGTGGTCCTAGGCGATAGTTGTGCATACTCTTGTGCCGTATAATGAGAACTTCGCACTTGGTGACGTTGAAATGCAGCATGTTCTCGATGGACCATGTGTACGCTTTGTCCAGGTCCTCCTGTAACATTGTGTGATCCTCCACTGCAGCTATAGTACGCCATACCTTTAAGGTCATCAGCAAATAGCAAACAGTTAGAAGATAGCACACTCGCGAGATCATTTATGAAAACCAGGAACAGGCGGGGTCCAAGTACCGAGCCTTGAGGTACGCCGCACTGAACTTCGATAGATTCTGACAGGTTGCTTCTAACCCTCACATTCAGGTGACGTTACACGAGAAAGTGTCCTATTCAGCCCAGAACAGGATCGCCGATTCCATAGTTCTGGAGTTTGTGGAGGAGAATGCGATGGTCTAGACGGTCGAATGCCTTCGAGAAATCCAAGTACGCCGCGTCGACTCCTCCACCAGCGTCCACAGATTCCGTCCAGTTTGCACGAGCAATCAAGAGATTAGTTGTACAAGAGCGATTTTGGCAAAATCCATGCAGTTCCGGAACGAGAATTTTGTTGTGCTCCAGATACGCCATTAAAACCTCAGCTACGATGGACTCCATAACCTTGGAGATCACAGGAAGTAGTGTTATCGGGCGATAATTTGTTGGTTCAGCACGACTACCACTTTTGTAGATAGGCGTGATGATTCCGTGCTTCCACATCGTGGGGACGTGCATCTCGTTCATACATCGTTGAAAGAAAATTGCTAATGGTCCTGCCAAACGCACGGTAGCAACTTTCAACTCCTTCGGACGAATGCCGTCCGCACCCGGGGAGCTGAATTCGCGCAGAGACATCAGCCTCTTCAGTACAGCTGCGGAGGTGAACGATATGTGATTAAACCCTGATGGCGGCGTTATCTGCTTAGGCAGGATGTATGATGATTGCGCGCTTTGTAAGGTACGGCCAAATTGTTGTCCAAGGACGTTGGCTGCCTCCTTTGCGGTTTGGGCTAACCCGCATGCTGTTTGCAGAGCAGGAATACCGCGCTTAACACGGCGCAAATTGTTTACGTGTCTGTATAGCAGTTTGGGATTGGAGCAAAACTTTTCCACTAGACCTTGTTGGTTCTTAAATTTATCCTCCCGGACGAGTTTGACACAGTGGTTCCTTTGTATTGTGTAGACATCCCAGGTATGGTCGTTCGGGGAGGCTATATAGGTGTGCCATGCCAAGTCCCTTAATACCATGCATTTACGTGTCCTGCTCCTTACGAAAGACTTCATCCTTTTAGGCCTGTAGAGTTTGGCTTCAGATGTCCTTGCCAAGGGCTTGGTAAATATGTTGACGAATTCACCGCAGGCCACCTCGGGGGTTAATTCAGCTAAGAACGACCATCCGGTTGCATCAATGAGGTCGGACAGGTCGTCATAGTTGGTTACGACACGATATTCCTCGGCATGCTCTATAGGATAATCCGCGTAGCACATGTAATGAAACAATAGCGTCGCATGATCACTGCGGCCCAAAGGAGTATCGGTTATTACTCTCTCGACCATTAATTCTTCATTGGTGAATCTTCGGTCCAACATGGATGGCCTGTCAGTTCCCCTGAATCTGATGGGCGTAGTGACGTGGCCATAAAGAGGGTAATCTGAAACCAGATCTTGTAAATCTGCTTTGAATTGCTCTCCTGGTGTGGCCTGGGATTCGAGGGCATGTAAGTTGAAGTCGCCGGTGATTAAAATGTGACTGTACTTCCGGTTTATCACTTGCCTCAACGCAGCCATCAAATTGCAGTCCATCTCAGGAGTAGACGGTGGTGGGCGGTAAAAAACAACCAATAGGCCAAGATGGTTCCCTCTTAGCCGGAAATTACACCAAATGGCGTCAGGTAAGTTGGTTTCCGAATCGTTTATGCGCTCACGTTGCATGTTGTTACGAAAATAAAGGGCTACCCCACCACCTTTGCTGGTTTGATCCTTCCGGACAACGGACATGCCCGTTAGTGCAATTTCAGCATGGGTTATCTCGCATTGCAACCACCTTTCGGTGAGAGCAATGAGGTCCCAAGCTGCAGACGCGTGTCGAAGTCTTAGTTCAGCTAATTTGCTGAGTAGATCTTGGGCATTTGTGTACATGCATGAGAGCTTCTCGGAGACCAAGAGTGTGTTAGATTGGATGGATGAAGCAAATGAGTTTACGCCGACCATTAAAGGGTCAGCGACTAATCGTTTTTTGGATGGGTTGCATACTCTCGAGAAGTATTTGATATATAAGCAGGTATCAGATGCCCCGAATCCCGGTGTTTGCTCGTGCTCTGCTCTGCCCCTCCGGATAGTATGGCTACTCTTGAAACCGTCCCCGAGTCGGGTCCTGCAGTTGTCATTTTCATTAAGAGTTGTGCCTCTACTGAATTGTCATTAGAAGGTGTTGGTGTTCTTGCTGCTTTCAGACGAATTTCTGTTGGCAATCTGCAACGGAATTTAATCCAGTTCGCTAGTAGGGTTTGTGCCATTAGTTCTGACTGTAACACAAGTTTTAACAGCCTGGGACCGCACCCCTTATAGTTTGGTGATATGGGGATCCTTGTCAACGAGGTGACCACCACATTTTCGAGAGAAAGAGCCTCCCGGATGTAGTGTCATTGCTCGCGGTCGTGCACCTGAGCATCGTCGGAAGAGGAGTCAGTAAGCTCAAGAACATGGTGAGCAATCACTGTTTTCTTATCTTGACTTTTTTCTGTACCTATCTTTGTTAGCGGGATCCCCTGAACGTTCTTTCCACGGGATTTCGGGTAGTATGCGCACTCCACTTGAGTCGTTGCGGAGACGATTCGCAGACAGCAGAACGGCCTCAGTCTCGTCCGTCGAATTTAGTGTTACCCGAAGTAACCGGGGTTTGCCGTAGTGCAACGCGTTTGGGTGGCGCGAGATTCTTCTTAATGTCGTGGGATTAGCATGGACACCGATCGACGTACAGATGGAACCCCACTGATTTCGATCGTCCGTCAACTTACCCTTAATTGTATTGGATTTGGATTCGGGGGACATTTGTGCATACAATGTTTAGGGCACCATGGTTGCGCCTGGTGGCTACTGGTTTTGGATTTGGAGGCTTAGTATCCGGTGTTTTTGTTGAATTTGTGAACGGCACTGGTGTGTGCCATCCGTGCTGCGGCAGTTTTGTTTTCTCTAGTCCGGGCACAAAGGTTACCGGTGCTCTTTCCGGTGTTTGCTTGGCGGCAACCGATGCGTACGTTGCCGGGTTGTTCACTATTGCTGGTTGACTGTAGCTTACGGTCTCGAGTGTAGCGAACAGACTACTAGGTGCAGCACACAGTACAGAAGTTGAGACAGGCGCGCTGCAGGCACTGTTTTTACTTATAGGTGGGAGAGAGAATGGAGTTGATACTGCTGGAGGCTGAGTCGTTGGGGTTAGGTTGGAACGCCTGGCTCGCTTCTTCGGCCTGACTAGCGAGTTCGGGGTGTTATTTTCACTCACAAGTGCAGGTCCGTTTCCTCCCATAGGTGTAAATCGGGCGCTCACCGGTTGCTCGACAGCTTCGGTTAGTCTTTCACACCTCTTCAGTAGCACAGATAAACAGCTAACAAATGGAAAAGACTTGCATACTTGGCAGAACCAAAACGCCTCTGCGGTGTTTGCTTTAGTCGACTCCTTCCCAAGGCAAGTAGTGTGATAGGATTTCAAACACATGGTACACACCAGACCACTTTAGCACATGATTCGCATTTACTCTTCATACGAGACATGTTCACAGTGGGCGTGCTGTTTTAAGCGGTAGAAAGAAGATAGAGATACTGACGCACCGTTGCGTGGTGATCGGCGCTGGTTTGAGGTCAGCGGGTCCAGGCGCGTCGCGGCCAGATAAGTCACGCCGTCTTTAATGTGTATAGGCGAAGTGCGTGCTATCGATCCAGCCGATAGAGGGTAGGCAGCGATGCGACATAGGGCTGAGACCAAGCAAGGTGACTTGGAAAATATTGCCTAATGACGACAGTGGCAGTTTCAAGGGCGGATCAAATTGATGACTATCGCTTTGTAGAGCGACTTGAAGGAATGGTAGTAATCTGATCGGGTGACTCTCAAAAAGATCTTTAAAATAAGACCACAGGAGTTCTTATGCGACGCGAGGAAAAATAAAACCTCCGATAGGGTTCAAATACGGTTGACTTCGAAGTTGCAAGCGCACAGTTTGCTGGTGATCCGTGGATGATAGATCCGATAGATGAACAGTAGTAGGAGGAGCTCGCGGAGCCAAATCGAATGATGGCACGTAGGTCTCCGTGAGAATAAATCCAAAGGTTTGGAGGCAAATAACGCAGGAGGACAGTTTTTACGACTGCTCGGCACAACTGTAGGTGAAGAAGTCCCATTCATTCTCTAAGTAGTGCACAGCCACAATTGAGCCATGGGTTTCTGATAATATCTGATTCTTCAAGTCTAAATCTCAAGCAGATGAGTTAAGCTTTTATAAACTTAACCTGGAACATCATTTACGGTTCATATTCTCTGCAGCCCACCGTGAGCATAGTGGCCCATAAGGTGCATGGATTTATATGAACATTTTTAAACTAACTTACGCGCACCTGTTTCTTTTGGTCAACTTCAGCAAAGATATACAGCTAGCCGCAAAATTTTCAACGGGGAGCTTCCTTATGTTATCGGATTGTGTTGTATCTACTCCATTGAATTCGTTGTAGAAAAGCTAATTGGTCCAGAAGATGGCCTCAAGCGGCTGATGAAAGCAGTGTCTTCAGTATTTGTTGGCTCAATCGATCGACCTTCTCCTGGCGAATGGACTCTGGAAATCAGCATGAGACCCAAAGATGCTTCGGACGCAATAGTGCTGGAGGAACACGAACCCGATGGAGAAGGTCAACAGTGGTTCTCGGTTCGCGTCTCTGGTATTAGTGACGTGGATTTTTTGCAAGGATTCAGCACAACTTCTCAAGAATACAATCATGGGGCATCACGACAACCAATTGCTGGTAGGTAGCATTGGTGATATGATATCAACAACGCCACTGTTAAAATGCCATAGCCTGAATTCCATTATAGCAACTATTGTTGCTATTAATCCTTGCTTTTTAGAAAAAGTAAGTAGATATTCGGATTAGTATTTGGCTTGCGTTTAAACTAAAATGTTGGAAGCAAGTGGCGTCAGACAATCACTTATCCGCTAGTGGATTACAGACTTCTTATGATATGCGTCCAATTTTCCACTGCAGGAACAAAGCACGAACGAATTCTAAAGCGTAGCATCCTGAGATGATCTCTGTCCAGGTAGCTTGCTGACTGCAGCAGTCGGTGGCATCCAGAACCATTTCCAACTATGCTTGCTCATAGTGCCCTGACATCAAGTTACACTTACAAAGTGCGCCCCTGATTTCATTTATAACAGTTGCTTGGAAACTATAATGACAGCTAAATATGGTTGCTAGCGACACCCTGGGTCTAGATGACGCTTGGAGAGGCACAATTAGATGAATTTCTGGAGGGATATTTCGTTGCAGTTTACAGTGATGCATTTAGGAGAATGGTTTTGGTATTTCTTACGTGCCAATCAATACGCTTTTACCGTTTGCGGATGCGAGGGGTGTAACCAACGGCACTTTAAACACAGCAGTCGAATCAAATACTTCTGGTTGGCCGCAGATATTTACATATTGCCGAAGCTTTGCCAGGAGCTAACAAACAACACAGCACACAAGCTGAGTGCAATGCAACCATGTTGCAGCTATGCAAACTTTAAAATTATTTACAATTTCAAGGGCCGTGCAATATGCATAAGGGAAGGATTGATGTACAGTGGAGCTGGAGCAACAAGTGATATACACAGATAAATAGGACAAAACGGTCACAGAATACTTTGCACGAAATTGCAACGATCTGATGAGTCTAATTCGGACAAATTTGTTTGCAACTTACTTAATCCCTTGTTGTCTATTTAGCATGAATAATCTTTGGAAGAGTTTGCCACTCTATAAGATGGTTGATGACCAGGCATAAGACAGTACCTCGGAGGAACACTCTTCTCTGCTCGACACAATGACAAACAACAACAACTCCAGTACATCAGCCAATTAAACTGATGCTTCGCTGCCATACAACCATGTTGACCTATGCAATATGGACTAATAAGAGGGACAGAAGGGGGACTTACCTGAAAACCTTAATTCTCCAAGCAAACATTCAGGGTCAAGGCACCTACCCCTTGTGTAGACAACAAACCGTCACAAATAGCTGCCTATCGTGCAAAGATAAGGCGGCACCGGCGAGACAGATTCCTTGCGACTTTCAATGCCCCGTGGCATAATCAGCCATTATTTTGCAAATAACTCAGCACCAAACACACTTTAAACAAGCAATCCGATTAGGAGATGGCAGCAGACGCGCCACTGGTGTCCGTTGCGAGCCATGTCCGGTAAAGTCTCGAGCCAAGCACAAAACGCATCACATGGCTTCCAGGCCGGAATGCAAGACGGACCGAAGGCACCCAATTTGGTCTTCAGTGACTTCATTTCCCGCTGTCAAATCAACTTCTGTCCACCGCGAGCCATGTGCCACCCTACATCTAGCAGACAAAACGAGGCCCTCCAAGCTAAGCGGTGACCAGACATACGTAGCAAACGCCCAAGCCAACGCAACTTATTCAGTGCTATCTGTTGTTCTAGGGAACTAGCATGATTATCACTACCTAGTACTAGCTTATTCACGTCATCGTTTCGGACACGCTGGTGCTATCCGACGCCAGCAATGCTACGCAGACAACGATAATCAAAGACTTGAAGGCACCTCAGACGGAAGGGGACAAGTTTCACTACCATAGAGCATGACAGCCCTCACTATGGTCTGGTATACACGGCTTTTCAGAAGGAAGAAAACTCTCTCTGTCGCCAAAGGTGCCGCAGGTTCAAGAAAGCAGTTCTGGTCTTTGCAATGCGTGAACTGACGTCAGTTTCTATGTGCCCATCGTTGCTGATGTTACTGCCAATGTAAGTGAATCGATCAACCAGTTCGAGTTTCTCGTTATCAAGGGTCTAGGGATCATATAGTGGCTGATGGTCCTGCAACAACACTTTGCGCTTTTGAAGGTGCGAAGCGCATACCAAATAATTGAAGCACTCTAGACAAGATATTCAGGGTTGATTGCGTCGCCGCAACCTCGTCGCAAAGCAAGACGATATCGTCCGAATAATCAAGACCAAACAACCTTTCACCAAACAAGATCTCAAAGCCTACATGGTGAGATTCCGCAAGGAACAAAAATGGGGAAATCGGACAACTCTGACGAAAGCCACTTTTGGTCAGAAAGACATCCGACAGGTCACCGTAGTCCCTGACGCGGCCTGTAGTGTTTGATTATAGAGCATGTAAGATGTTCACCGATTTCGTGAGAAAATGTTTCCACCGAGTTATTCGAGCATGACGCATCTATCGATTGAACTGAACGCACTCTTGAAATCGAGGAAAACAGCTATTGTCGGTTTGCGGTATGTGTGGCGCTGCTTTGGAACCTGTCGCAGAGTGAGTATATGGTCTATAACGCGACGTCCTGGGCGGAAACCTGCCTGCTCTTCCCTTATCCAAGATTTCCGTTCCACAGTGAGGCGACGAAAGAGAATCGAGGCCAGTAGTCTTGTCGCAACTAGCGTTAGGCTAATACCCATATGGTTAGTACAGTCTGTGCGACTGCCCTTCTTGTATATTGCCACTATAATCGATTAGCTCCAGTTAGCCAGGACACTCTTCTGTCCAGATAGGTTCGAATAGGGAAGTCAGTGCTTTGCAGAGGACCGCACCTCCATCCTTAAGTAGTGCAGGTGGGAGGGAAGCGGGGCCAGCAGCACGAAAACGATTGAGGGCTGTGATCGCGTTTCGGACCCCGACCTCCGACGGACGCTCTTATCTAAACATCTATGGCTCATCCTGCATTACCTGAGTAGGAAGAGGTCCAGGAACAAGGGACCATCGAGCCATGCTTCGATCCTTATTGGCTATTGGTACACCCGCGCTCTCTGTTTGTCTCACTGACGCCTGATTTCCTGGGACCAGTGGTGCAGATCAGCTGGAAGAGCTTGCGGCAATTGCCTACTGCTCCTGGCTCCTCCATTTCTTGAGCCCTATTGGTCCACTAGGCTTACTAGTCAGCTGGTAGGCTCCACATTAGTTTGCGCCTACTAGCCCGTCTGGTAACATTGTGCTTAAAGCCAGCCGAGAGGTTTCTTCTGGTTTCCAACAGGTTCAACGACTTCTCGGAGATACATTGACTGGTGTGCTGACGATTGATAGTGCCACAAGTAGATGCTTCTGCTTCGTGCATGACAGCCGAGATGCTATTCCACTGAAGCTCAGTGTCATTAGGACAAGACAGCGAAAGTTCGGTACGCATAGGCTTGCCTGACTGACGGCTGAGACATTTCTTAGTTGCGAATCGGAGGAGACGCTTTGTGCGCCTCCCAGTAATGTTCATGGAGAAACGACGGCGTACTAAGGCATGATCAGAGTCGACGCAGGTATTTCAGTACGAGCGGCAATCCAGGATGGACCCACACCACCTGTAAGTTATGACTATGTGGTCAATTTGGGTCCATCTCTGGCCAGCTACAGGAGAACGCCAACTGGCACTTCGGCGCCCACTGGGTCTAAAAGCAGTGCTAGTAAGAAACAACTGGTGCTCCGCACACAGTTGCAACAGGCGCTCGCCGTTGTCAGTACGTTCGGAGTTAAAGAAATAATTAACACCCAGCTGAGCTTCTGATGAGCTCATACGTCCTACTTGTACGTTCATGTCCCCTGCAAATACTATAATATCGGAACTAGTGGTACTGCGTAGTAGGGCGTTTAGTTCGCTATAGAATGTGTCCTTCGCAACATCAGTCGGTGTGACCAAACGCGGAAATCACAAACAAACACCGTTTTGTACTGTTTCCTGAATAAACCATAACTGATGTCGTCAAACGGGCTGCACATAAACGGCTGTTCCCCGGAATCTAATCAACCGACAATGGCTCAGGCTTGGAGCTGAGAATGATACCTGCCCCAGCATGACCGGTGAGTGTTGCATTGGCGTCTCCGAATACGTGCAACCAATGACGAGAGAATAAGCCGGGCGCAGTTAATTCAACAACCCCATTGGGGTCACCGATCCTAGTTTCGGACGCACAGCGCACGACAATACGCAGTGTGTCCAAATTTCGTGCGAGTGCGGCCTGTTGAACTCTTTGTCTTAGAGTGCGAACTTTGAACGCAGCCATGGAAACGGGACAATGTGGCCTTACACGGGACTGTTGCCGATAAGCATCCGATGGGTGTGGTGGGAAGGTGCCTGCAGATGGTTCCACTGCAGTGGCACTTCGATTGCTTTCAGTTAAGCTGGGAATTATAGAAGGAATGTTCGTAGTTCAGGTCTTTGTGGGAGCAACAGAAACAGGTGGAAGAGAAAGGAGACGCCAACACTAACGTGCTTTTACTTCTCCGCCCTGCTGTATGCAGCAGATAATGCGACCCTTGATGACCTGCGCGACGGCCGATAAATACAAGATGATGTTTATGTTTGCAGAATATGTCATGCTTGTATGTGGGTTGCGATACTGCCATGACGCCTTGACCTAGACAAGAGGACGATTAGGGTCCTCAAGCAAAGACTTTGGCTCAAAAACCTGTCCGCAAGGCAGCGGGGAGTGGCAATGATTTAGTTTTACAGAAATGGACGCCATCCCGTTTCAAACCCCCAACCAGGAGGATCAGAAGACTGAGTTTGTCTGACCTCTCACCATTGATCAACCTTGTAGGAGTAGCCCTCAGTGGTCTGGAGACGCCATCCAGTATAGGTCAATAGGTCAAGGAGGTACGCAGACCATCGCAACTCCTTAAGGCCCAGTGTCGTTGCGGCGGCCGCTCTACACAAGGATATATGAAATCAAAGTATAGGCAGTACACCACGGTTTGTAAATTTGTCAATTGGCTACTCCCGCATAAAGTCCAAAAACCTAGCCGACTGACAAAATGTAGGTTCATAGATTTTAACGCAAAAGTGTTCAATAGTGATACGTGCTTTTGCTGAGACGGAAGGAGACAAAACGCTTTTTTCATTGCTTATTTGTTATAAGAAAATCAGTAAACATTGTCCATGTGTAACGAATCTAATTGGAACCATTCGAGACTCCCCGGTTTCATAGTATCAAATGAAGAACATTTACCGACTGTGTTGGCTTTACGTGCTTTGGGTCCATAACCGCGGGGGTATAATGATCGATATTGAAATCTGGGAGTTTTTTAAAACCTATGACAGCGTCGTTCACTTTATGGTTCCAACATTTAAATAGAGAGCACCGCCGTGATGCAGTGGAAACTGACTACCGCCATCGGTGGTACGTGTCCGCGGTGAATGAGGGCGCTACACCTAGCCTCATTCGTGCTTAAAAGTGCACATGCCTTTCATTAAACAAATCCATAAAGTTATGAATACCGTGACTGGATCGTAATTGCCTGGATTCTACAGGAACTCAATGACAAAAGACACTATTACAGGCTAATTGCTTTCAAATAGATACTGAAATAGACCTGTCCTATACAATGCCACTTTAGGTCACATTAGGTTGTAGAGCAGAGGCTTAGTCAGGTTGGCCTTGGACGCACAACACTCTGAGTTAGTTGGAAAGGATATAAATGGCTACTGGTTGCCGTAATTTCACCAACCGACAGATACTGCCTTTTCCACAGATATTTCAACTGACAGAGAAATTGAGTCTTACCCCACTCTGCATAAGCAAATCTAAACAAATTGGCTAACGTACACCCAAATTGGCTATTTGATCTATCAAAAGACGTAAAGAAATTGGATACCGATGTAAAAGGGTGAAACAGAAAATCCGCAGTTTCATTCACTCTGCCTGATGAAAGGACCGACCACCGTGTTGTTGGCCAAAAAATTATGACCATTGTATTGTGGCTCTCATGAACTGCAAACAACATCAGGTTTGGCGTCAAAGACCATCGACTGTAAAAGAAAAAACTATATTGTGATTTAAGACAATGATGCCATCAGTTATTGAGGAGTTTCAAGAAGAAATCGTTAATCAAACACCTTTGTGCCATATAGCTTGAGCTAGAGAGGTGGTTTAATAAGGCTTAATTAGTTACTCATTCGCTTATGGTTGGATGGCTTCTGCGTAACTGGTGCTTAATGGATCAGAAACTAGCACTTGTTTAGTTGTTCTTCTCTTTGGGCTACTATCAAAATCCACCTGTTTCCAGATTTGGTGGTCAGACGGATAATGTGAGTCCGTGCATCGGACCGCTACGTATGAGTTTCCTTCGTCTTCAACGGTACATATGTCAGCCTGTTGCTCTTACTGTAACTCTCACTGCAATCGTCAGGTCAGACCCTAAGAAGATGATACGGTCCAACCCAAGACAAGGTGAAGAATGTCATAACTCATAGTCTCAGACTGCTAAAAAGAGATGTGGCATCAGATGTGGCATTTGTGCAGGTCAATAAAAATATGTTTTAATTCCTTCATTTTGCAGTTATCTTTATCGTGAAGACCAAGGCATGTGCTATCATTTTATGCATTTTAACTGGACTACAACATTCTCTTATAGGTGTGAAAAACTTCATCATGGTTAACATGACTGGACGATTTCATCCGGGCCGTATCGACTACTTTGATATGAGATTACCAAATGGGACTTCCGTTGCTCGTTTGCCAGTGAAGCAAACTGGAAACACACAGATTTATGTCAGTCAACATGTTATGGACTTTCTTTCAGGGCATGCCTATCTACAGGTGAGTGATATACCTCTTTAGTAAGTGCAGCATATACATGCACTTTGCAAACATAAACTAACCAACCTCCCTTCGGTAGTTCCAATCTTAGTTTACAGCAGCTGTGATACCACTGGAGTTCTGCCATGTAAAACTGTTCACACATTATCCACTGTGCCAATGGACGGCAGCGGCTTATAAGACCACGTCATTCATTTTTCTATGGCAGCGTTCAAAGCTCGCACTAAAGACAAATAGCTCAAAGGACCCACGTACCCACGTATGTTGCTTGTCCGAATCTAAGGTCAGTAGTCCTCAGAGTGGTTGAACTAACTGCACCTAGCTTGTTCTCTCCCCATTGGTTACACGCGTCCGGAGACGTTGAAGCAGCAAGCTGGCTTGGGCACTGTTCTCAGATCTAAGGCTAAGTCATCGCTGATTGATTTGATTTAACTGAGCCGCCGTTTGGTGCAGCCTATTTGACGACATCAACTATGTTTTATTCGCGAAGTGACACTAGACTATGTCCGTTTGTGGCTTCCGCTTCTATCTCTACCTACTGAACTTCTGATGTTGACATGTTCGTCCCTACCACAAACGCAACAAACGGCAACACAGCGTTACCAGATCAGATATCATCATTGTATGGCGGGAATGTGAATTGGCGTAAAGGTAGTCTGAGCTCCTCAGTAGCTGACCTGGGTGGTAACTAAGAAGTTAACTCCAACCGTATGGACCACGGCGAGCGTCTGTTATAGTTGTGTGAGAAGCACCGGCTGTTTCTAAGCATCACCACGACACGGTGGGTGCCGAAATGCCACTTGGTGTCCATCTATGGTTGGCCAGCGATGGACCCAAATGGCTCAGGTTACAGATGACGTGGTTCCATCCGGAACTTCTGCTCCTTCTGAAATACGTGAGTCGACTCTGATAATGCTTTGACATGATGTCCTTTCTCTATGTACTTTGTCGGAAGGCGTGCTAAGTTTCACAATCGTTTGGCAACTGAGGCTGAGATCCGAAACACAATCACAGACTTTATTGGAGATGCTTTACCGGATTCCTTAGCACCCGCACTATTTAATAATGTTGGTCAGGTCCTCTGTGAAGCACTGACTTGTCAGTTCGAACAGATCTGGGAGGTAGACGCCCTCCCGGGCAACTGCAGTGAATGGACAATAGTAGCACTACACAAGTGCAGTCGGACAGAACATGCTAACCGTGGGTTTTACTTATGACTAGACGGATGTGGTAATGCTAGTTTGCAAGTTATAAGAGTACTGTTCGATGAGTGCGCCGCGGCATAAGTAGGCTTGCTAGCTAGTAAAAATTCTTGCACCATTGCGACAGCTGTTCAGTCAGTACACCCTTAAGGATTCATCTTGTTACCGATAACTTGGATAGCACTAGTTGAGATCACTAAACGCTTTGGGTTGCTTGCATTTTTTCAGTTCATAAATTATCCCCATTTGAGTCAGAAGTAAGCAAATGCGCGAAGAATATTCTTTTCGATAATTCTCATCTGGCGTATACAATTACCAAGTAAAATATTGGAGAGAATAAAGCTCGTAGAGGCTTGTACAGAAAGCAACTGAGTCAATTACTGGGCAGTATGAAAACTAAATCAATGGTTTGATCAATCACTGTCGCATTATGAAGCACGTGACCAAAGCAGGTCATTTGTCAAGTTCAAGGCCAAGGCAATTTCAGAGCCTATAAAAATGTGTGCTCTTTGCGCAACTCTAATTTCAGAACGATTGTAATGGCTCAAACTTGGGTAGCAACAACCTGTCTGAAAATTTAAGCGATCTTAGGATGTAGAATCTTTGTTCGCCAACGTCCCGCTACACCAGACCGTAGAATACATATGTGAACTAGCTTAGCAATTTGGCTATTCGTTACCAATGTTAGTCGAAATGCTGAATGAATCTAGTAATGTACATCTAACATTTTGCCTTCCACTTTCAGAACACGCCACACCGTCAAATCGATAGGGTGGCAATGAGTAGATCCCATACGCCTTGTACACTGATTTCTTCATGATAGTAATAGAAAGAGGCATATCTAAAGAAATAGCCAAGCTGTCATACTATAAGCGTTATGTGGACAACATGTCGGTCTTTCCTTCGTCGGAGCAGCAGGTTGTGCAGATGGTGGAGCAGCTTTACAGCGAAGATGCCAACTTGCGGGTTACTTGCAAAGTGTAACAGAAGAAGTGTTTGCTATTCTCGAACATCCGTATCAGTCGCGATGACGCATTCATTACTAGGTCCGTCTACAGACAACAACATGAGCTGGCCAATATTTTTACCGCACTTGCTTTAACCCAATGCAATAAGAACGTAGATTTGTGAAAACCTTAGTCGGGCTAGACGGATTTGTTCTGTTGACTTTCTGGCTGAGGAGATAGAGTTGATTACAAAAACACTCATGAAGAACGGTTATCCTAGCAGATGTATAGAGAAACGCAACCAACAGCAAGCCCCGAAGGACTTGATGTATACGACAGCCAAGAACAAGATTGATATCTAATTTTATTACAATCGTAGTATTATTGTGTTAAAGACGACTAAATGCAGTGAAGTTACCATGCTGCTCAAGTCGTAGTCATTAACCGAACTCGTAACTTGCCGGTGCCCCCAATCGATGAACTCAACCTGTCGGAGTCAACTCACACTGTGTATACTAATTCGTGTGCAATTGCAGAGCCAGTTACATAAGCAGCACCCGTAAGTCTGAATTCTCGAATAACCAAACCGGTATCAGGGTCGATCCAAGGTCAAATGGACCAGCGTCACTGTCCCACTGAAACAGTTCACGCGAATTCCGCCAGCTTTCTCCGTAGATAAACGCACTCTAGTCACGCGTTACCAGATAGAGCTTGAACCAGCGTTCATAATTCTTTTGCCTCAACCTAATCTCCGCTACCTCCCTGTCGAGGAGGCTATATCAATAAGCCGGCTAAACAAGTATATTTAAAGCAGCTACTTCACTTCAACAATTTGAAATGTACGGAAAGAAGACGTAGGCTGGTAGATGCATGCATTTCGTATTATCTCCCCAGTACCATTAACAATAACGGATGTCCATAGATGTAGCTAACAGTGGGTGCAACCAGACAAGCTTGTGGTGCAGAACAAATGATGGAAGTTCATACCTACGTCCAAGGCTGTCTTAGGCTGACAAATAATTGTTTTGAAAACACAAGGCTGGATTCATCCGGCTTATAGCAACAGCCTCAGCAAACCGAAGGAAGCGGTTCGGTTGATGACGACAACTTGTGCAGCATAGTAACTTGCTTGTGTAGCCGAAATTAGACACTTAGTTGTCTTCAGCTTGGCTAAGTCACCTTTGAAAGATAACTCGATATACACTTTCTTCTTGGCTGCCGTGTGCACCAAGTCCTCTGGCCCTCGCGGTTGGCTGTGTTTCTCGATAAATCTTCGAGGGTAGCCGTTCGCCATTAGTGTTGCTGTAATTAACACTAGTTCCTCGTCCAGACAGTCAGCCGAACAATTTCTTCTGGCACGACTAACTAGAATTTTCAACAGTTGCCGTTTGCATCGCACTGGTGTGAAGCTGGTGAAGTGCAGGTACTGACCGAACCCGAAATTTGCCCACACCTCAAAGGAACGAAGCTCAGCCTATTAGGTCCAACTCACACTGTGCATACCAATTTCTATGTGACTGCGGAAACAGTTACTTAGGCAGAACCAATTGAACGCTTGCTTCCCGAATAACGGAGCATGTACCAAGATGGCTTCAGCGTGAAGTTGCTCAGATTGCGTACCCTCGTCAGATTCCATGTTTGCGCAGAGCGCCGGCTTCCTCGATAGGCAAACACTTATTAGACTCGGGTCACCAATTAGAGCTGGTCCCAGCGTTGTGTTCCGTCACACTAATCCCCGCTTCCTTCGGTTTGCTGAGGCTGTCGCTATAAGCCGGATTAAGCCAGTCTTGTATGTTTAGAAACAATTATTTGTCAGCCTAAAGCTGCCTTGGACGTAGGTGTGAAGTTCCATCATTTGTCCTGCACCACATGCTTGTCTGGTTTCACCCACTGTTAGTTATATCTATGCATATCCGTCATTGTTAATGGTACTGAGCAGACACTACGAAATGCATGCATCTACCAGCCTTCGTCTTCTTTCCGTGCTTTTCAAATAATTGTAACTTAAGGCAGCCATGAACACAGGGGTGGAACTTTCATCACTCCCTTTTTCACAAATTCAAGTACTGGTAAGACGGGCACAGTAGTAGAGTTTAGCGAGTGTTTCTTCTTGAGCGGAACGTTGAAACAAGAGTTGACAAAGTACTCCGAAGTATGAATGGATCTAAAACGAAACACACGAACCGCACTCCGGTCAAACAATTACTGCTCACTTCTGTATTGGCAATCTCCGTTGTGTCAGTTACCTGAAGTAAACTAGTGAAAGGAAGGAAAATATAAGGTAAGGAATGCGGGAGGTCTGTGAAGTAAAGCGTAATTCCAATGATGACGGTAAGTACCGAAAGGATGGGAGTCAGTCTGCTGAAGGGAAAGGTTTCACGTTGCCACTCGGGAGCGTCTGGTTAACACCCGAACCCCTTAAAAGCAGGTTCCCTGCTAACACTTTCTGAAAGCGAATTCCAACATTCCATGGCTCAGCGCGATGTCAGAGTTTCCGCCCTGATCCGGTCAGACCACTTCATGGAATGTCCAGGAATATCAGACAATATCGCAAGATAAAACACCCAAAGCAGATCCGGACCAACCTTTCTGGCTAAAAAAACGGTAGGTAAGGATATGGTCTCTAATCCTGCAATAGTGCATTGAGTGCATTCCCAAACTAAGTAGGCGCTCGAATTATGTTTGTCCGCGTAACCCATTGGCCAACCTTGTACCGACTTGCAACGCCTATTCTAGTACCTTTTTGTCCAAGACAAGGCATGGTGGACAGGTCTAGACGTAATATTCAAGGTGGAGCCGGAGGAAAGCGGAGAGGAATTTCACAAACATATTAGCTGTTAGGGTGCCGAAA